AGTGTGGTAGGATTTGATGCCCCCCCCAAAAAAAAAACTGAAGATATGGTCTTCTGAAGAGCCCAGTGTCTAGATTCCTAAAAGTCACATCGATTTCTCTCATTCTCTGTTTCTGATACATGTGATGTCACCCAAGAACACATAATTTCCCTATGAAGAATATCTCTGTGGCTGGAATCAGAGTGGCATTTACAGTGTTCTTATGACCTGAATGAATTCTAGTCACACTTGTTTATGTGATAAAAGTATAGACATCATCACTACTGTTATGACTCTGGCGGTATTTTGTAAAGCGTTAGCCTTACCTAGTCTCTATCACTTTGAGTCTTACTTAGTTTCTGGATTTCCCTAATGCCTAGCTGAATATATCCCTGTGTTCAAGGTGTCATTCTCCTGGTTTCTAAAAATACTCTTGCTCCCTAACTAGCTATTACAATGTCCAAAGTTCCCTGCCCAGCCTTTGGACCACATGCAACTAGCTGCGCTCCCTAATAGAGTTTTTATGTTGTTTCACTTCCTGGAGGTGCTATTCTGGGTAGCCATGTCACATCACACCACAGTGGCTCTCATATTCAGATCCTAAAACCTTACTCCTTACATATTTGTGTGTATGTATATAAGTAGGCACAAGGAAGGAATATAGGCAATTAAAAAAAAAACTAGATAGGAGAACATGGGAACAAGAGGTAATATGAAACAAGAAAGGAAGTTACTGGAGTGGGGGAACAGAATGTAGAGGAGGAGGAAAGAGAAATGATGAAAATAAATTGTTTGAAAAAATGCCATAATGAAACATTTTTTGTATGTTGATAAAAAAATAAAGGAATTGAAAAAATATTGCATCTTCAAGAGCAACCTAGTATACAAGAAGGACTCTGTAAAACGAGAGCTGTTTTAAAGGCTCCTCTGTTTCTAGTCCTTTCTTTCCCTATAAATTCTAATTACCTTAAAAGTCAGCACTGTGCTGTTTGGAACACATTCACTTGCATGGCTTAGTTACTTAGCCATTTCATTTCCTTGCACATGCTGAGCTTCAGGGACCAGAGACTATGCCTTATCTTTTATCATTGTTTTCAAAAGGGTCTAGCTGTTCAACAGTCTTATTTACATAAGGATGTACCTTTTAATAATACATAATATAGCATGATCTAGATAGTGTATAAGCATTGATTATACAAAAATCTCAAGAAGTAATGTTTGAAGGAAACTATCTTGTAAGTGTAGATTGATTTCTGTGTTTTAATTTTAATTTTTGTTTTAAATAAGGAAACTTGTGATCAAAGAGATTAATATGGTGATCAGATCATATGACGAGTTACAAAGCTATCTGGTAGTTTCATAAAAGCCACATTAAAAACTTATTTAAAAGGAAAAATTAGAGGTTAAATAAGATAACATCACCATATTTTTTTTTGTCAATGTCTACAGAGAGAATAGTACCATTTACTTTTTATTATTAGAGGAGGTTTTAAAAAAAAGTCTTACTGGAGTTAAAAGTACTTTAGCAGAAATGAACTCACTTAATTTGTCTGATTCCCTAGGAAAATTTTTTGGAGAGCACAGTAATTGGTGGTTAAAATCTAAATCCCTCATTGTAAGCCTCTAACTGTCCACTAGGCAATATATCACATTTATAAGCATTGTCTCTTTCAAAACTAAATTTGAGATTTAAAAAACTTCCCATTCACATTTTCCAAGTCAGTTCTCTACCGAACCCCTCGGTGCAACGGTCATAGGAAAGGGAAGAAAGAATCTGAACAACTTATGTTCAAAGGATCTGGCTGCTTTGAAACATCTGATGACAGAGCACCAGCACAGACACTGGACCAGTTCCTTCCTCCTCTTTGTGTAATCTGGAATAGTCACTAATTCTTTCTCTTGATAAATTTTAAATTACTGTGGAGAGGACAGTAATATAAAAAATGAGAACCAATGCTCAAATCCCCATTTGGTCCCCATGGGCAAGTCCAAGTAACCATCAAAACCCTCCTCTGAGAACCATTTAACTGCATTATGGCTAATCCATTTGGAACACCTTGTTCTAAGCAGAGGGGCAAAAAAGATTTGCTGTAAAACATAGTTCAACTCCCAAGAAGACAACAGTGGATTAGGTGACCAGGGAGACTCCTTGGAGATTTCCATGCTTGTGCTATTTCTGAGTCATGTCTTTGCTCAAGGATAAAGTTGCCTTTGAACAATGTGCTTCATGCTTCAGCAATGTTTTTGCTCCAGGCAGATGGGCCATATGGAAACTATGAACTGGCTTCATAGACAGGACGTCAATGAGCCGATGAAACATTTTTATGCTTTCTGTTTTTATTCAAGTGGTTTAGTGAATAATATATTATCATAGAACATGGCATATTATGTGACTTTGTTTAAATTCTGAGTTGTTACTAAACTTTTTTGTTGTTATGGATGTTTTTAATAGGAGATGGTTTTCTTTATCAGAGAAAGTTTTTCATTTAACAAGGCTTAGTCTGTTTTGTAGGCTAAATGTACTTCAATTCTTAATTGAAGGCATGGAATTATTTTAATGCATCAATCAAGTTACACTCTAAAGAATGGGTGAGACCTAAAATCAGAGATTTTCTTTCCAAAATGGAAAGCCATAATAAAAATCTTTAAAAAAAAAAAAAAAAGAGTGTAGCTACAACAAAACAGAAGAAGGAAATGAAAACAAGGAAAACGAAAGGGAAGATAATTTTCTAAATACTGGAAGTATTAGAAGTACTTAAAATTTAATGTGAAACTGTGTGGGTGGGGGAAAACTCACAGCTGTTGGCACAGTACCAAAACGGAACAGATGAACAGCACTCATGTGGTTGCATGTTTTGTGTAGGATGTGGGAGGGCTGCAGAATAGGTGAAATTAATATGTGGAAAATAACTGCACTGGTTCCTTAGTGGTATTCAGAAACTATCGTATGTACTCATGCAGCCTGTAAATCTTTGCAAATCCTATGATAAAGAATGATCATATTTCATCATTGTAATTAAAACATAGTGGTCTTAGATGCTTTTCTACAGAGGGAAAAAGGCAAAACACAGACAATACGGGGAGAGAATTGTTTTAAAGGGGGAAAATTGAAGGAAATGTAGTTTAAATGTTTTCTTTCAAGGAGATCTACGAAAACACAATATTTTATGCCTAAGATCAGAGGAAAATCACAAGGTCTTCCAGGGTAATAGATGAACTTCACATCTTACAGGTTGTAACTCTTTGCATCTGGTATTTATATGTGATAAAAGAAGGTCTTTAGGAGGCTATAAACTATGCTCATCCTTTTCACCATGATAAATATGGGGGGGGGGTTACATCTTGTGCTGTTTTTATAGCAATTCATCAGTACTGAATGCTAAAACCAAAAACTGGCTGAAAGCAAACACAACTGAATAGTTTTTATGATTAAAATTAATCTTAACTTTAAAAGTAATTTAATAGTATACAGTGTGGTGTCACATGCATATGAAATGAGTTGGTTTTCTTTATACTTGGCCATTTTTATTTTGCTTTAGAAACTTAATTAGACTCCTATGTGAGAACTCTACCAGCTGAGGAACTGAGCTTAGATGGCTAGGCTGCACTCTAAGATGTGATTTGCTTCTGTGGATGGTCTCCATTGTTAAAACCATCTACACATCCTCCACAAAGTGTGTGCTCTTGGTACCACTGTCATGACACTCAAGGAGCCCATTTTCTTCTATTTTTTAAAAGAGGATCTCACATTTCTCAGGCTGGCTTGAAGCTCATAATACAGTTTAGGAAGAAGAATGCCCTGAACTTCTGGTCCTCTTCTGTTTTCTCCCTACTGCTGCCATCACCACATCCAGTTTATAAGCACCTGGGGACTTTGTGCATGCTGAGAGGGCATTCTATCAACTATATTAGAGTCCCAGTGCAAGATACGAAACATCTTTTATCCACCTCAGGTTACGAGTCCATATAACCAATATAGAACAAATATTAACAGACTGAAAATGACAAAACATAAACAAAACAAAACCCACATGCGTTTTAGTTAACCATCCTACTGATTTTTTACTATAAAGTTTAAATTTTTGTTATACCAAAAAACTCCCACCCTGTTTTATGTTGCTGGTGAGAGAATATAAATTTGATATTTCCTTTTGTTGTTGAGTTCCTTTGGTTTTTGTTTTTCAAGACAGGATTTTAATAACTAGCCCGGGCTGTCCTGGAACTTACTCTGTAGACGAGGTTGGCCTCAAACTCCAGACTGCTAGGATTAAAGGTGTATGCCACCATCACCCAGCTTAATCTGCTTTCTTAACTGTGCTCTGGGTGGTTAGAAGGAAAGGAACAATCTAGACATATCTATAACAGTAGCACAGACCAAACATGCTTTCTTATGACAGAGACAATGGTGCTACAACACACCAAATGTACTTCTGAACACATGCACCTCGTTTTGTTTTATTAACTAGAAATAGCAAGTTAGAGAGCTTTGAAAGATAATTATGGGGAAACAGCATCATCCTAACCTTCTGCCCTTCTGATTCCTCTATCTGACCTGCTCACTTTGCTAGGGAGCACCGGGGTAAGAGACAAATATTACCTCATACTCAATTTCTACATGGAGATAGAAGTAGGGATCCAAGGTTCCAGCTTAATACAATACTTTCAGCAGGTATTAAAAAAAAAAAAAAAAAAAACCACGAGGAAAGCAACATTATATACAAATGATAGCAAAAAACAAATAGACAAACCAAAAAACCCAAAACCAAAACAAACATAAAAGCAACCCAACAACAACCAAAATTAAACAATACCCACAAACACTGAAAATATTAAAATCAGTTCTGGACATAACAGAGACGATGACAGATGGGGTAAATATTTCAAAACCCTCCACAAATAAATCGGCATTATTCAAACAGGATGGAAAGGGGGGGGGGACAATGAAGCAGATCAAGACATAGCATCATCTGGAACAAGCAGTTATAGATGTAAGCCACAGAAAGGAATTATTCATTTCTTACTTGCACAAGTATCTCGAAGGATTTGACAGGTCTTTCACCATGAAGCACTCACCACCATTCACACAGAAAGTTTTCTCCTTCTCTGCACACTTTACAAGATGGCTGGTCCCAGTCGTGGATGTAGACGTGGCTGGATAGGGAAAGAAAAAAAAAAAAAAAGAGGGAAAAGTTTGACACTTCATTCTGTGAAAAGAACCATTGTGATTAAATAAAATTCTGGCTCTAGCAAGGCTCAAATGTGGTGGTATCAGATCCTATCAATGACAGGGATTTTTTAGTAGCACTAACTGATAAAGCCATTTATTTTGGCAAATATATTTTATGAGTCTGTGCACACTGTGCATTTTAGATGACTGACAATGAAAGTGTCTGATTGACAACAGTCCTTTGAAGAAAGAGAGACAGTTGGAGTTCCCTAGAAATGTACAATCTGCTGTAAGACTCATCTATTTGGAAGCCAGACTAGACACAAGTCATCCTTTGTTTTATCAGATGTTAATGTGGTAATTTGACGTTTACTTCTCCAACCTGACAGTCCTATGGCAGTAAAGTTGAAGATGACTGCTGGACCACTGAGTACACACTCTAAATGAAACCCAGTACCTAGTCCTGTGGCTCAAGGGCACTTAGCATAAGGGCCTCTCTCTCCTTCTTTCCAAGGCTGTGAACACCATGACAGGGCTTAGTGTCAATCAGTGTTCACCACTGATATCAATCAATAGAAGATGCATCAAGTCAGTCAAGATTCTGTCTACTTTTTCAGGAAGGAAATCTACTATGGGATGAAATGTTTATCTTATCTACTGACTTATTCCCATAGACTTTTTAATCTCTTCTCTCTTATCACTCCTAGCTTATTACTTGCACAGATCTAAGATTCTCTGTACTTGACCCACCATGTATGGTTCCCCCCCCCATTTTATTCTACTTTTATCTTTCATTTGTTTCCAAATCACATTTTATTATGATTTTTATCCAAATTTCTTCTACTCTTTTATCTTCATTCTTCCTGACCAGAACAATGAATGTCTTGATTCAGTTCCAATTTCCCATTCCCTTTCTTGTTTCCTTCTCTCCTGCCTTGGGGACCACTGATTTTAGAAAAAAGAACAAAGATTCAAAACCACTCGAATTTGGAAGAGTAGTCTAATTCAAATCCCTTCTAGAAACTTTAGTCCTGAGTCTCCTAAATTTCTCATCCAGAAAACAGGGGTGATGTCAACCATAGAAAAATTTTACACAGATTATACACATTCTAGGTAAAGCATTCATGGGTGAATGAGAAAAATTACAATTTTCTTATTTAGCAATCAGAATTTAGAAACAACAGCAGCAACAACAAAAAACTTTACAAAGGGGCTAGAAGTGTAGTTCCATTGTATAGCATTTGCTGGTTGCTATGTGTAACGCTGAAAGAAAAAGTTTAACACTGGAAATCCAGGGGCTTAAATGATTTGTTTTGCTACCTTATATCATTATTGTGAATAATTAGGAATTAGGTCAACCAATTAATTTTGTTGTGTGGAGAGTTAACCCAGGGACTTCTACATGGTAGGTAGGTATTCTAGCATTGAGCTACATTATTTCTGGCCCAAGTCAATTTTTTTTACCTATTTCAATAAAAGACCTTTTTAAATGTCACTAAAGGTATCCGTTAGAAATCTAGAAACCAAACCAAAGCTTGGTGATTATTCATCTACTATCAGCTATGTTAGCAAAATCTTTATTACAATGAAGGGTATGTACTTTGCATCATTTGAGTCATAAAATCATGGCAGAGAATATTGCTATACACCTCACAGCATATCCTTTTAATCAAACAGTATGTGTTCATGTGAAAAACTGCCTATGTACATATATTAATTTTTAATCCATGGCAACTGCCTTTAATTGATGAGGAAGAAGCTGCTTTAACAGTTACTGACAGCATTCCACTTAATAATGAATATGGCTGGGTGTTCTTCATGCCCGCATACAGCAGTAAGTATATGTGCCACCCTCAGTGACCTGTCACCATATTTTCCTGCACAAGGGTGCTGATCCATGAGCAGTCCCCAGTGGTGTCTGAATCCCTGACATGTTGCTGAAGAAGCCCTTTGCCCTGCTTGAATAGCCCATGTAGAAGGCTCTTACAGAATCAATCCTATGGCATTTACTAAAACCAAACCCAACATGCTCCATAAATGGATATAATTCTACATAAATTATAAATGAACAATAAAAATAGGCCATGATACAGGCTAAAGATAGATGTATCACCCTTATTCTATGGACTTGCTGTTCTTATGGGATTAGCAAAATAACAAAACTAATAAATGTACATTAAAACAACAACAACAAAAAATGCCATTTGACTCTTAAAAATATTTCTCCCCGAAGTGACTTTTTTCTTCATAGTACTGTCTCAGTATATCCAGCCTTGACATAATCCACTGTAAAATTCATTAGATCATTACTAAAAGGTAGATAGAAGCTAATTTCTGGAAATGAGGTAGCAGCTATTTCACATTTATGACTATTGTGCTTAACATTTTTATCTATGGCAGCCCTGAAAACATCATGACCTGTAAGGCAGCAATTAAGTCCCAAGTGATATGCAGTGTCAACTGACTGGCAACATCTGCTCTGAAACAATGGCTAGGTAAGGGCTGTTCAGCTAAACTCAGCAGCAAAAGCATGATGGAGGGGCCTGTAATGAAGTTTGCTACAAGATGTTTTTCTGTAGTAGTACTGTGTCGACATGAGTGTCATCGACCAAGCACTGATGCATAAACACTGGACAAAGGAAAGCAAAACATAATTTCTGTCCCCATTGGAATTTCATTGTTTCTTTGGGAATGCAATGGGAGAGGGTCTTGTTTGCAAGAGAAGTCAGTGAATAATGCGAAGGCATTCAGTGAACACAGTCTCCTCTGTTGCAAATGTTTGCCAAGATTTAGAACCCATTCATTTGTTTACATACTAAAACTGATGAGTGAGTTAAGAGAAAAAATTCAATCTCTTTTCAATATGATTATTTTCTACATTCAGTATTGACAAAATTCTGTCATGTTTCTGCCTGAAGTTCCACATTACAAAAACTAAATACATTTACACTGTCTCAAATTAGTATAACCATTTAAATACTATAAACTATTTTACTTGACTTGAAAATAAAGTCTCATTACATTGCCCAGGTTAACTCAGAATTCCAGCTCCTTCTGCCTCAGCCTTGCACGTAGCGGGGATTACAGGTTAAGTGTCACTGCCTGAACTTTCTAGTAGTATAATTAATGTCCACTTGATATGCAACACAGAATACATTTCATTTGTAAGGTAAGTTTTGAGCATTAGACTACTTTTGTAGGTCTACCACCTACTTTTGTAAACATGCAGATCAACATCTGAATAACCATTTGATCTTTTCTATTCCTCACTGAGTATTTCTTCTCAGAAGCACACAGCATAGCTCAAGCTGAAACAAAAGTAATGCTGAGTGAAGGGTTCCCTCCCTCCCTGGTTTGAAACACTGTTGTTAGTAATGCAGAGAGACCTGAACAATAGGTTAGGACCACCAGGGCACAAACACACACCACTGGTAAAATGTCAGGCCAGCCTCCTTGGACAATTAGCATGAAGCAGAGTTAACAGTGCATAAGAACAGTCATAAGAGTCCTTCCTCAGTGACAGTGTGTTCAAGACCCTTTTCATTTAAGTAACCATGAGGTTTTCTCAATGAAATATATAAAGTTTTTTTTTAACATTTATATACAAAGCAGGCAAACTACAAAAGGAAACTTTTGAAGCTTACCTGTATCTTCAACATTTATGTATTTAGAAATCTGATTGCTTTCTTGATCTTCCATATCCTGTTAGTTTTGTTGCCCCAAACCCTTCAAATTGTTAATGTGCAGAATGCTGTAGAGCTCCTCCACTGGAAGCACCCTGTACTGCTGGAAACTACTTAGCTGGCTCTTGAGAGTCAAAAAATTCTGAGCAGAAGCCAAACAGGAAGAACTATGCTGTTCTGCCCACGTGGCTTCTCTCTGCAGTAAGGGGATGGTGAGAGCAGTCATCAGTTCTCCCCAGGAAAAGCCAAAGTCACACTGGAACCATAGAAGCACTGTCATTCTGGGTTGACATTTTTTTTCCTGAATAGTAATTCAATCCTTTGCTGAATAGTACATAGGTTCTTGCAAGGGGAGAAAACTCCCTGGAGGAGATAAGAGATGGTCTTTTGTTTCTGGGAGATGGACAGAGGCCATAATGCACCTGAAAGTAACACCCAGCTCCTGGGAACTTCAGCTTGACAAATTGGTGCTGGGTAGGGCTGGACTGGCTCCCTAAGAAGACTATTAGCTTTGCAAAGAGACTGTAACTTGGCTGTTGTAACTCTGCTCAGCCAATTACCCAAAGACACTCTCCTTTACTTGGAAAAGCTGTGACTCCAGGACATTAGTGTCACTGAGACAATGTCTAAGCAGTTGTAGAATAGCATGATTACACTGTCTGTTGAATAAAATCTGACGTCAGGGAAAAACAGCAAGTTACATATTTGAAAAATAACCTTTCCTGACAATCCTATTACCATGTACAAGTAATAGTCATAACTAAAGCTGCTATAGCTAAAAATTCAAAGACTGTATGCATGAAGAAAACACATTTGCCCTTATGTTTACCATGTATATGACTGTTCCTTCAGTGAACTTTGCTAAAGAAGCCACAAGAGAGGTGAGAAGTAAGCATTGTTCACTGGTACAGCCCTTGCCTATAATGTGCAAAGCCCTGGGTTCTATCCCTAGCCCTGTAACAGCCAATACAAACCAATACAGGAGAAAAGAGAAGATAAAATAGAGGAGGGGAGAGGAGAGGACAGGACAGGACAGCACAGGGGCAGAGGGAAGGGAATCAGGAAAGAATAGAGAGAGGGTAACAGGGTTAGAAAATAAAACTTCATGAGACCATGAAATATGGAACCAAAAGTTTCAATAGCAGACTAAGATAACTCACTGCATGCACTGACTCAAGGCTTACATAATAAACCAGGGGAATTTAAAAGTTTGCAGACACCCTACAAGGTGGCAATTTATCTAAAGAACACATTGACACAAAAATCCAATGGAGATTAACTAGATTAACTGCTGAATGTGT